TGTTGGGTTTGGCTCCAGCCCCCCGCGACCCTGTACGCAGGATAAGCGGTTGACGATGGATGGATAGTTCAAATTGTCCTGGGCCTTTACTGCAGGTTTAGGAAGTGGCCGCACAAAGTATCCATAGATAAACCACCAATTCTATGCTAAGAACTAAACCCCTTCTTGCTTTTTCCTGAAAAGCACTTTGTAAAATGGTTATTTTATATTTTTAAAGTGTTTTATATTGAGGATCAAAGGATTTTTGGCAGTTAAGCTGTTTATACATAAAAATACACTCCAGTAAACGAACCACCCTTGCTGAATCCACACTATAGATTAGGACTCACTATAGTCATTTATAATAAGGTGAGACCAAATAAACGACTATTACAATATATAGACAAACCAAGTGAGATTTCCAGTTGACCCCAAAGTTACCCATGAACAAACAAACAGCCCTACATTTAGATAAAGAACCTGCCTTTCCAATTAAGCCCCACAAATCTCTAAAAGCAGCGCTAAGTCCTCAGCAGGATGACCTGCTACAGAAAACAGATCAAAACCTGTCAGTGTGTCTCTCTCACACTTTTTCAGATTAGATTAGAAGACATTTTAAATTTGGGGGGTTGTAAATGCAGAAACTACTAACAGGATACAGTAAATACGTTCATTATAAATCCTATAAGATGATGCAGCTGAGATGATGAGTTCTAAATCCTATGGTCCCACTGTTTCCATTGATATTTGTATTTTGAGAAGTATAACCCGGACTAAAGCTCCTTTCGGACTGAATTTATTGGGGAGGTGGGGAGATTTAAACATTATAGGTCAGTGATTCTAATCCTCTCCCAATGGGGTAATTCTTCACCGCCACCACAAAATGAACTACAGTCACACTTACTGTTTTTCTGTGAACTTACTGGTCCTACTGTAATTTACATTCTACCCCGAGCGACATCCTTGTGTTTTAAACTGAACACCTGAGATTTTTCTGGGGAAAGAGCTGTTCGTCCTTCTTTATCAGTTCATAATGGAGAATGACTTTTGCCTGGAAATGAAAGAAGTCAAATTTTTGCTAAACTGATGAAACATGCTAACGCCGTCATGTAGGTCTATTTGGGAAACAATATGACAAAAGAAAATGCCATCAGGTGAGCAAGAGCTCGTCAAATGGGCTACAGGAAGCTACTGTTTTTTTCTTTTAGACCTGTTTTTTTAGACTTTACTGGTTTACATTTTGTGAAACTGGCACCTTTGCTGAATTAGCTATTAGCACATCCCGCTTATAGTTTGCTGCTACGCGGCTTTATGGGCGTCCGCAATGGACATTGGACATAATGATAACCTCAAGAAGTGTGTCACAGTGAACCAAATAAAATTTAGTTCAAGTCTGTGAGCTAAGATTTCACTCAGATATTACTCTGACAAATTGCCTCAAATTCACCTCACGCAGGATATTTACCTAACCTTCAACCCTCCAGCGCTCCCAGGAGAGACTCCTTTCATCTTTCTCTTTTAGCTTTGTCCTGCTGAATGTCTATTTCTATTACAGACCACATCCTGTAATTTCCCAATTGTTAAAATGACATCTGGCACATTTAGTTAAATTAAAGTGGTGCACAGTGAATATTTAACCTGCCCCTCCCCCTACAATGTTAATGTCCCAGCCAAATGGTCTTACGAGAAACATAGCTTAATATAAAAGCATCTAAACGTTTTGCAAAATCAATTTTCATTTTGGAGACACCGGTAACTTCTAAAGCAGCACGGGAATGGCTGTGATGTTGGTAAATAACAGCGTGCCATGATACCACTTCAACACATAGCCTACTGGACAATTAGGAATTAATGTGTAGTAAATGAATTATAGTGTGTGGATGTGTGAATGATTTTAACAGCCTATATAGCATTGACAAACATACAGTATCCACACTGCTGACAAGACCTAACCACTACCTTGTATTGTGTATGCATATAAGAAACAATATGTATATGTTTTTTATTTTAAATATCTGTACTTATGTTCTGTTTGTGTAGTGTGAAGGGGGCTTCAACTTTAATTTCGTTGCTCAGCCCTGTCCTGTAGAATGACAAATAAATGTACCTTGAACCTTACAGCATGCATCCTATTCATTGGTCAAATTCATGTGATTTATTTGCACGTCCTCATCCCTAAACACAAAAATAGGTTGTCTGTCAAGGACTCCAAAAACGACATACAGAACTGTTTCCCTAAACGACCAGTTCAGCTACAGGCGTACTGGACCTTCACTACGTGACCTAAGTCGCGTGACGTCAAACACGTGATTAATGTTGTGAAACAGTCAGTTTGGTTATGTTAAAGAAACAAAAACTACTTGCTAAGATTTAGGAAAACATCGTAGTTTGGATTAAAATAAGTATGATACATAAGTCACACGACATCAGTCAGAAACACTATTTAACTTAAACTCTAAATAACTCGTGCTCTTTATGTAATGTCACGTGACTTGATTCTTTGCTACCACTGAGGTTGTGGCCACAATTCAGTAAATGTAAATATGGGTCGCAATAAGCGGCTTGAACAAACATGGTGAGGACAGTCTGTGTGTTTGCCAGTAACCAACGGCAAACTCAAAGCAACAACTGGCAAATAACACTTGATCATGTGAGTTTAGTCGTTATTACTAGATAGATAGATGTAACATTTAGCACTGGGATTCACACGTGTAGAACTTACGGTCGGCTAATCACTTGACGATTTGGTTTCACAATAAACATAAGTGTGGGTGGTTTTAACGTGTTGAACAAACAACCTATTTGGTCATTTTTCTGGGGAGGACAGGTTGATTATATGCTGTATAATAATTATCAGAATCTTTAACTAGAGGAAAGACATACAAGGAAAATGGATTTGTCATTTTACAACAGGTTTGTGGAATGACTCTATTGTGGCATTCAGAGTTTTATTATTAATAAAATTAACCAGGAACAGATCTTGTGTGCTAGTCATCTGTTAAGCCAACTTCAGCAAAACAAGCAAAGAAACAGCCAGTTATTCTAAAATATCAGATTTCTCAGAAGTGCAGAGAAGTGCTTCTTTGTGCAACAAGTTAAATTTAAACTGATTTGAGACCCGAACACGTGCAAACAAATTGACAAATTTTCTAACTACAAAACTAGCAGCATTAAATATGTGAAAAATATCATCAATACTAAGGTTAAAGGTACTTAACGGTAATTTATCAATTAAAAATGAAGTCCATGTATATGAACAGTTTCTCTGTAATGGATCTAACATCTGCATCACTCGCTCTCTCTGCCTCGTCTTACAGATGCACATTTTCCTCCATCTCTCCTTCTCACCTGTCCTGTCTTATTTCATCACACACACACACCTGTATTGGTCAGCTATTTATTCCCTCACCTGATGTCAGCTGGGATTGGCTCCAGCCCCCCAGACCCAGAGAGAGGGGAGGCCGGTGACTAAATAATTCTAAATAAGGTTGTAAAAAGAAAACAATGAAGATGAAAAGAATGAAACGCAAATAGGATGGTTGATAGCTAGAAAATAAGGAACAAGAAATGGTGGCTGGAATCCTAAATCATTTGTTTGTTTGAAATATACATACTTCCTGATTGGCTAAGACAGGCTCATTCCAGAAAACCCCCCACATGAATCCACCTATGACACAACCGACACAGACAACTGTTCCATAATGGTGTTAACATATATGTAGTGTTAATAAATGTTGATATGGTGATAAATGCAAATGATAATTTATTTTTCATCTAAAATACCTCCATCATCGTTTGCGTTTCTGAATCTGTGTAAGCAGCACCGCTTATGTCTGATTACAGAGTGAAGGTGCAATGAAGAAAATGGACACGCCCATTTTTACCGCCAACAGCCAGCATAATATGGGATAAAAAACACATATACAGTATCTGCATAAACCAAACGTACAGCAAGAGATTACCTTAAATGGAATGAGTTGGATTAGAAATAGGCAAAAATGAACGGAGGAAGAGAAATTCTGAATAAAAGCTGGGAATGGGGGGAGAAAGAGAGGGAGGGAACTGACAGAGCGAGATAGATGTGAGCAGGAGATGAGTCAGAATAGAGGGCTGACGAGAGAGAGGCAGAAAAAGACAGAAAGAGAAAACAAGAGACAGAGACCTGCAGAGGCAGAGAGACAGGTGGAAAGACCCAGAAAATCAAGTCTGAAATATATATATATATATATATATATAGAAATACACATAAAGGGAGAGGGCTGGTCATCGAGAGGAAGAAAATGGAGGGAAAAGGGTAGGGGGAGACACAGCCAGCAGAAAAAAAGTGAGACATGCAGAGAGCGAGGGAGAGAGGAGAGGAAAAGGCGTTCAGACAAGCGTGAAGCATCAACAATGGAGGCTAACAAAGAAAATCCCAATGGATGCATCAATCACTGCTCCACTTATCCCTCCTCCCTCTGATTTTTAGTCTTTAACGGAAGGTTTTGCCCCAACTCCCTCCTTCTCTCACCCCCCCCCCACCGCCACTCCCACCTCCTCCATCGATCCATCCAACCCTCTATCCATCTGTCCATCCATCTGTGTGTCCAGTCTCCAAAACAACACAGACCCTCGAGTGTTCTTTCTCCTCTCATCCATAGCCAAACAATCTCCTTATTTATGCATCCATTTGTCAAGAAAAAAAAAAAAAAACCCACATAAAAAACAGGGTTGTATAATCCGCGGTATTATCATAAGCAGACATATAGATGGCATGATTAACATCACAGCCCAGCTTTCCATTTTTCGCTTGGAAGAACGATGAGGAAATTGTGAGAAGAAATGTGCAAATTAATGAACAGACACAAATCTATGCTTTGTTTTTTTTTTTCCGCAGAACATGTATGTTGCCTTCTTTCTCTCTGCCCACAACACACACAAAGGAATTCCATGATACCGAGAGAGGGACGGATGAACAAAACAATGACAGAATGGCACAGCTGATGAAAGATAAAAATGACCAAATTTCTCTTCTGTCCTACCTTTCTGGCTTTGCGATTCATCCATGTTTTCCTCCATTGTGGTAGGTTACAGTCCCTTTGTCTGTTTAGTGTGAAGCTGTTTAAAGCCCCTTGCTAGCTCTCAGCACAGTGTGAGTGTGTATGTGGGAGGCTGTGTGTGTGTGAGTGTATTTTTATTTTTTTTGCCTCCCTGCAGATGATAGAGGCTCAGGGAAGTCCCTATTTCCAAACTGCTCTCTCTCCTCACTCTGCCTATTTGGGCTTCGCCAGCATCTTATCTCTGTTTCTATCTATAGCTTTCGCTTTCTATACAGATATTTCTTTAAAAGATCTATATCTTATATTCGAATATTAAATAAAATCTTCTTTATATAAAGCTTTTCTTCTCTGTTGAATTGAAGTTTTAATCGAGACATTATTAGATAAAAAAATAATAATAGCGGATGTCAAATGCATACATACAGGTATGCTCATTTAATATAAAAACAAGTTAAAAGTGGTTGACGTCAGTCTGCATTCACTCTAAGTATGTAAGACACTGACGAGATCTAAGATTTACAAATACTGACACATGATAAAATCACACACAGACACAACACAATCAAAAGCATAAAGCGCAGGATTTTTCTGAGCAAAATATGCTGGCAAACACCAACAAAGGACTCATTAAACAAGGCAGCTCTACACACTTAAATGACAAAGATTTAAACCTCTGCCACACAAAAATCTGACCAGGATAAATTAATCTAGTATATTATCTTGAAGCTCTACTGAAAAAAGCGGTTACAGATATCCGTCTCTGCCCCAGTCCCAGTGCAATAAGTTGAGTTGAATGGAATTTCCTTGGTGGTGCTCACGGCATTGGGAAAATAAGATCAGCTTTTTATTAGAACTACTTTCTTCCAAAGAAAGAGGTCCTATTGGAAGTTAGAGTTAAATAAGAAAATAGACGGACTATAGGGAGTCAGTCAACTTAGCTAACAGCATAAAGACCGGAGACAGGGGAACAGCTAGCGAGTCCAAAGTCCAAAAATACATCGATCAGCACTGAATGTTGTTTCTTGTTTGTTTAATAATGAACACAAACAAATAAGTTGTCCAGTAGTAATGTACGGGAACTATTGAAGCTGTAAGCAATGTTTTCATATGAACACTGGATCAAATGACAATGTGTAAAGTCACTTGTAATGACAAACCCACAGTTCCCTACGCTCTGGAGCAGAGGTCACTAATAGGCGGACCGCCGACCTACAGCCTATTTATTATTGAGAATTACTTCACGGTGACGGAGAGTTTATTTTTTTAACCTTCGCAGCTTTTCTAGCATTTACTGTACTGGTTTAGTGGCCCGAGGTAGATACACCGGAGATGTTTTGGAAACACACAGCGAGAGAGGAGGCGAAAGAGAAAAGAGATTTCACATGGCGTTTAATCAAGAATGTACAGATTCTTACATGTGCGTTCCTCCCACGGGCAGTTCAGAGCCAGAATATCTCATATAGCTACGATTATTTATTTTTTTCTGAAATTAAGCACTTTATTTTAGTTTACTTAAATTTAGAATTTATTACAAGAGTAGTTATTATTTGTTATCCCTCCACTTTGATGTGAAAACTGAATATTGTTGAAATATTGTAAGTTGTTGACTAAAAACACATGAACACACATGACTGAATGATAACGCAAGTTAGTCGTTATGATGTTCTGGACCTTTGCTTCGGGAAATTTTCTCTAACTGGACCTCTTTGAATTCTAACTGAAGACCCCTGCTCTAGAGCTTTTCAGTGTCTTTCAGGTAAATATTTTGAGCTTGCACCTACTACTCGCTGCTCTAACTGTCCATGTTTTCAGCTTTAGGTGGATGAAGACCAAAACACTGCCAAAAAGTGAGTTAATATTGGACTTTTCAGGTGACCACAAAACACAACTCCAAATAAATCCTAATATAATTCTGTCTGCTGAATGTGAAAATAGGCAACTTAAGCTTTAAAAACACGAGGCTATTTTATGCAGGCTTATGTGTTTGTTGACGTGGGTGTTTTTCTCTCAGCACTGGGCCAAACAACAATAGTGAAGGCTCTATTCGAGTTAAGTGTCCCTTTAAGCCATGCCCATGGGCCAGCGTGCTTAAAGCCCTGGAACTGGAACACCTGAATGGACTGTAGTAATATTAAGTGTAACAATGAATTTGTTTAGTTGATTAAAATTACAGGGTTTCAGCCAGCATGTGCCACAAACAAAACACAAAATGCTCTGTCTATGGAAGCATATCGTACATTACCAACGCTCAGGCTACTATCCCAGCCATATTACAAATAATATCTCATCTTGGAGCATTTTCAGGTTAGAGAATTAACTGGTCAAAGAGTGAATTAATGCCTGTTAGGTTCCTGTGACCCACGGTTTGACTGTATGTGTATTCAAAGCCAGTGAGCAACGGACTTTCAAAATAATAATAATAAAATAAAAACTGTGTTAACATGCGATAACATAATTGTCGGCATTAATTAATTAATGCGTTAACGCGATAATAACGCGTTAACGTGTCCAGCCCTAATATTTTTATATATATATATATATATGTACTGTGTGTATATATATTTATATATGTACTGTATATGTATACACACAAACACATACATTCACACACAATGCAGCATGATTTTCCACTTGTGCAAGTACCCTGTCGTTGCACTAAATATGATTAAACAGATCCACAAACATCACAATATATATATATTTAAAAAATTCAACATACATAAGTTACAAGAATTACAACATTACAGGAACTCACACTCACTAAGTTTATCTTATGTTTGATAACAAATACTTTATTTGCAATCTCAAGGTACAAGCATTGGTTCACCATTTGCTCCGAATTATGCTAATTTGTTCATGGGTTTGTGGGAAGACGTGTATTTTCAATAATAACCCCTTTGCAAACTACAAAGGATATATTAAAAGATATATTGATGATATCCTCATGGGGTTTAAAGGTTCTGAGGATGAACGAAGGGGACTTAGTGAACACATCACTAACACTTATCCAACTCTGCATTTCACTTTGGTACACAGCAAAAGTTCAATTTCTGGATCTTTCGATCACAGTTAATGAAAATAGACAACTGGAGACATCTATCTATCGATAAGAAAACAACAAAAAATTTACACGCCACTAGTTGCCATCCTAGCCACGTGATTAGTAATATACCATATGGTCAGTTTGTGAGATTAAGAAGAACAGGATTATCATATAAAGGTTAAAGAAATGGCTGGATGATTTAGACAACGGGGATATGATCGAGCACTTATTGACCAGGCTGTGGAAGAAACCAATAGAAAAGAATTATTGAAGCCTTCCCCTAAACCTGTAACAGAACAACATTTGTGTCAGAATATTGTACCATCTCCAGACAAGTTAATCAGATCATAAATAAACATTGGAGTTTCGTAGAATGTGACCCAAATTTGAAACATTTAGCAGTGTCTAGACCTCGTATTTGCTTCAGGAGAGGCAGAAACATCAGGCATTTTGTTGTCAGTTCCATGTGGGCCAGTAGATTAGATTAGATTACTGGCCCACAGAAGATACTACAGTATTACAGAGTAAAAGTAGGCTTCAGTTTTAAAAAAGCAACATGACTTTTTTATTTTATTTATTTTGCAAAATTATGTTACTTGTAACAAGTCACTACCCCTCCTGCAGCAGGAGTCCCCACTGCTGTCTTCAGTTACAAAAAGAACAGAAAAAAGAAACACAATATTGAGACACTTTGCCTCGAGCGAACTCTTTTTTTTTCTCCCTTTAACTTTTCAGCACCGCATTTGCGTTGTGTCGCATGTTTTCTATGGGCCTACATGATTTTTGTCCACATTTCAACCGTTTAATCATGTCTGATGCGGAGTGTGTGATTGATTATCCACTCAAACCGCCAAACTCCAAAATCGCCACAAAAAAGTGAGGGGGACAAAACACAGATTTTGAAATGTGGAGGGGACATGTCCCCCTTATGTATAATGGCTCCTACACGTATGCATTTGACACTAAACATTTAACCGTCCACATTCAGGAAAGAAAAACAACATAAGATAATTAATTAATTGTCTATCTACTCATGTTGTCTATGTTTTGAAATTTCATTGTGGCTTAATGAACGTGGGCCAAACTAAATGGAATCTCAAAGTGAGAATGGCAGAACATAAGGCTGCCGTTAGAAATGGGAACATGGATTATGCCATTGCTAGACATTATAAAGAGAAAAACCATGGGTCGGCCTCTTCCCGTAAATTTATTGGCATTGAAAGATTGAGTCCTAATTGTCACTCATCTACACCACTGATGTCCATTTTGAGCCCATTCCTGTAATGTTGGTTATTATATGTCTATCTCTGAGGTGGGTTTTTCCTTCAGAGAAAGTTAAGATACTGATTGTCCTAGCCTCCCTTTTAGGGATATATGATAGAGGTAGAAACGTCAGGCTATTTTGCCTTAAGATATTTACGAGATGAGTAACGATCGAGAAGCTAATCATGTTAGCTCGCTAATGGCACTTTTACATGTTAAATAAGCATCGTGCTAATCGTAGTTAACGTGAAAGCAAGAGTCATATCCAGGAAAAATTGTGACCTTTATTTTTTATTTCTGTATTTATGTTTCACTGTGCTTCTGATAGTAAACATCCCATAATTGCTCCAGTCTCCAGGATCTTTATTAACAATGCCAACTCGACAATGTCAGATCCAACATCAAAGCATACGTTATTCTAAATAACGCTGCATTCTAGAGACTTTTTAGGCCGGAAGGTTACCAAGTGCCGCTTCGATCGTATATAGTTGTGATTCCTTTTTTACCCAAGAGGTTTTAACACTTTTTGTTTGGCTTCCTGACATGGAAAAGGACCGGACGTGATGTATGAAGATAGGCAGCATCGCTCAGCCAATAGATAACTGTTTGTCCCAAAGACAGCAGCAAAAAATGTAAAGAAAATATTTTGGAGAGTGCACAGAGACAATAGAGAGAGACAAAATATATTTAATATGTGGTCCCTTGCATGGCACACATAAAAACAGGGAAAAAATTCTCTAAATCATTTCAAAATAATTTTTGATGTTCATTTTTTCCTGATTGCCAAGACTTGGGGGAACAATTCTGAGAAACCAAAAATATTGTTCATAAAATTTTTGAATGTGATTTAAATACAGTTCTGTGAGATTCATTTTCCATTTTCTTTTTTTG